TGGCTCGCAATGCCGTGTAATTTCCTCGTCCTCGTAGTTCACACCGTTGCGCTCAGGGGGGTCATTTGCCCCCGCACAGCCCGATTCCCGTTGGGAATTTTCTCGTCATTCGACGGAAATGAAGTTTTCCGGGCCGCGTCGATGAAAACAAAGCGGCGCCCGAGGTCAGCGAGTCATCTGCATACCGACTTTCGTTCCCTGGCCCAACGACCGGGTTCGCGCAACGATTTGTCGGCGGGGGCAAGCGCGCAGATCCCGGCGAGGTCAATCACGATCCCTCGTAATTAATCACCGGTTCGCAAATGGGGGGAAGAGTCGCGGCCGGAGATGGAAAAAGACCGCGTGAACCGCGCCACCTTCTCACGGACCGATACTCCATCGTTAACTGCAGCACAATCATCTTTCTCCATTCCCGTGTTTTGTCCCGGCCTGGTTTTCCCTGCTGCCGAGCACATGCTGGGATCTATATCGAAGCCCAGCTACTGTACCTTGTTGCCCCGACTGACTGACTGACTGACTAGCAGCCCTGATTTCGGCGGCATCTCTCATTCTCTTCCCCCCCCACCACCAACCACAAACTCCATTCAATCCCCGTTTTGTCCGGGTACTTCCCTGTGTATTTGCCGCGGTCCGCTCCCCCCCATCTCTCCTGGCCAGAACGTTGTTTTCGTTATCTCATCCTTCCCAGCACCGATTCCGATCCGTCGTCATTTCCTATGCAAATCGCCCGCGACGAGGACCTACTGAATTACCATGTGCACATGAGTCTTCCGAGAGACAATACGGGATCCCGATTGCCCGTCGTACGATCGGAATTATCCTACGTGACATATCGACGCCTGCCCTCGGAAACACAGTAATTCGCTCCGTTTGTTTGACCGCGACAGCGATTATTCTGATTACGCACCGCAACGCGTGACATCTTCCCGCCAGGAACTTCGGGAGGATCCAATCGGCGATGAACTGGTTCGGGGAAAACATCACATCACATTACGCAGCGCGATTGAGAATTTGTTTAGCAGGAATATAAATAATGACGTTCTGTATTTTGCGTTTACCGGGACAAGTCGAGCGTGCCTTGAAAGCGGTTGATCGTAAAACGACGCTCGTTCACGAGATTGGAAATACGCACGGAACAGTTCGCGTGGAAAAAGAAGCAAGCACAGAAAGGTCAGCAGATTTTAAACAAATGTTGTTTATAGCAAGATGCTAAACATCATGAATTATTATTTCTCATGAGCTGCGTCCAGGAAATCCGACAGCGAGCAATCAAACTGAACCGAACCTCATCATTTGACTGACACAGAGATTAAGTAATGTTTAACACGATTGCAGTTCGGTACTGCTTTTGTTTTTGACGCGAGCTATTCTGGAAGCAGTTGCAATATTTTTGCGATGACAGCATAGGCTGTACCCTGATTGAAAAGAAAAAAAACCCCACGATCTGCATGTATAACCCCAAGAAAATTTGGAAATTTTTCGATGGAGAACTGATGCTAAGACATGCACAAAACTGTTATTGGATTCGTTTTGTCTTTGAAATTTCATGTGACTCGAAAGGTGTGAAGAATACCTGCTTTATGAAAAAGTTTATAGAAATTTTGAGAACACGGGGAATCGCATCTAAAAATCCCCCGGATGCTTTTTCTATTGCAGGACTTCCGTTCGCTTTGACCTCTTTTCATTCACACGATCTCGCGTAAAAGCTGTACGTTCTAGTCGCGAAATAAATCCCGCATGTGGAATATTCCTGCGTAGACATTTTCGTCGCATTTTGAATCGAGAAAATGCGGTTTATAATCGTGCGAGCGGTTATGGAGGCAAGAATGGCGAAAACGGGCATATCAATCTGTCAGTGTGACGCAGAATGAACGAGGCGGAGCATCGTGGCGTGTTTCGAAGCATTTTCCCAGAAACGGCGCGTCTAAAATTGGCTCCGGCGTTTTGACCGGTTTCTTCCTACCGGCGACAAAAGATCGGTTAATTGAATTTCCAGGGGAGAACGATAGATTTGTTTCCCGGAGCCACTGGAGGGAGGAATGGGGGAGGGAAAAAGTGTCACCAGGAAGTTGACAACTCATAGCACCCGGTCCCGGTGCTCCACACTACTCCTGGAGAGCTCGTGAGATTATTTTTGCCCGTACCCCCGGGTCCTCGTGGCGCCCGACGAATTATCATATGCAAAACGTGGAGTAAAAAGACGCGTGGAACCCGGCGTGAACCGGGGGCTCTGTATGGGTCCCGTGATGAGCCTTCGAATCATCAGTAGCATTCTGGGACCCGTGCTGGAAAGATGTGTCGTTAGTGATTGTGCGTGCGTTTTGAGAGCACCGTGTCTGTGTCGGTCAGGCCTATTTTAAATCACACCCCTACCCTCCGGGTTTCCCCCTCCTGAAATGGGCCCTACATGGAGACGAAACGTGAGCCGCCTCTTGCGCAGTACAGTACCCGTATTAATCGGGAACTGCGTGCTTAAACCCCCAGAAGAAAAAAATGCCTATACCCTCGAATGAGAATCCTTACGTGATTCATGTCGAATTGAAATGATGTACCGATAATTTATTCAATTCTTAATACCGATTGATGAAAATGCCCGTATTGATCCAGTCCACAATTATTGGGTGATTATGTTCACTTGAATTTCGTGAGTGTTCCTCAAGCAGGGATTTCCAGAATTGTCTGCTCACGATCGCCTTCCAACTGGTATTAAAGTATTTTTCATTAATTTAATTTCTATTAAATCATTAAATGTAAAGTGGACGACTGATATTCTATTGAAGCTGACGTTTTGCTTATACTGTATACAGTCATTTGAATGAAACACATTTGTTTCACTTCGACTTTATGAATTCTAATCAAAAAGTTTCTTCATCTCTTACGTACGCTCGCGAATTCAACTGAATTGTGATTCAATTAACTCATGTCAATTGCGTTTCTGGTGGCTTGTTCACTTTGGCATTTCATTTCACTTGAATGTCAACTGAGGCATGCTCACTTGGAACGTTTGCCTCTTTTTTCATTTTGTAGTGATATTTCATGGGCATTATTGATCTCTTGCCTCGTTCGTGGTCATCGAAAAATACAGCATTTCACTCCTTTTTAAAGGTTTCTAAGAACTTCAAATTTCTTTGGGCGTTCTGAAAGGATACAAAATGAAGCAATACGATTCCGTTAAGTACTGTGTGTAGAAGAACATTTAAAATCTCTGGAAACTGTGGAACTTTGAATTAGCGATGGGATTGCTAAAACTTGACAGTGATTGATATTGCTTTCGTGCACTGTGCATATTATTCTTCCGATGATGCGTAGTACCGGGTTAGTGGAAATATCGTACCGTGATGAGACTGATCCAAATGAAATGATGGGTTTCGGTGATTCATTCGGCACTGCTTCTCGGATAACACAGTCCTGTTCTGCAGGCAGTTCATGTTTAAAAATAACATGAATACTGCTGTTTGTCGCGTGAGATCGTCGAACCCGCGTTTAACGTGTCCGAAGACCGACGCGAGTCGGTGGATGAACCTGCCGACAAATCGAAATCGACACCGAAGTCGGTAGGAGCAAGGTCCACTGAAAAACGTTTGCTCAACGTCGGCACTTGTTTCATCATAAGTTTTCACTATAAACAACAACCCCGTTCAAACGACCGAACTGCAGATCAAATTACACGCGGATGTCGAAAACAGGGGTCGTCCTGTGAAAAATGCTATCCGGTGCGGGAGCCTGCAGGGGGTCGAAACACAAGCTTCTCGGCCGCTGCTTGCGAGAGTTTCCCCGGTCCCGACTATCCTGAGGGAGTTTTTTAAATCCGCGATCGACCGAAACTGTTGGTGATTTTCGTGAAAAGTGGATTCTTATGGGTTTTCCTTTTCAATCTGACTTGGATCAGCTTTGCCGAGAACCCAGTGACTCGAGAAAACCTCGTGTACACCGGATAACGAGTCGTGAACCGGACTCTGTCGACCCCAAATTATTTTCATGACTAGGCTGAACCAACTTTTTCTGAGAAAATAAAATGTTTTCAAATCCATTTCCCGATACAAAACTTGAAAGGAGAATCAGACTTCATTAGAGTACATATACATACTTCATGATGGAGACTGAATGATGAAAACGCAAGTGTTCGGGAATAGTAACCCACGTGTAAGATTCGGAGACATGAAATAATGCTCGATTTTGCATCAGCAATCGAAAATTTTGTATTGTTCATTAGGACTCTCATCCTCTAGGTAAATATTTGTCCCTCCGCGATACAGTGTTTTCTGCATACGGATTCTATAAAATTATTTTCATTCTCTCGACATCGTTGGAAAACGTACACCTTCTATGATTGAAAGGTAGACTTGGCCTATTCCTCGTGATGTTCTGTATCGCACGTAGGTTTTCCAGCCAAATATAGAACCCGTGAACCCCGTTGTAATGTTCAAATCTTCATTTTATTACAGAAAGCCGAAGACGAAGTGTGATTTATTATTTGGAACTTAACCCTCGTAAGTGGACAAAATAAGTAGCAAAACTATTCTTCTTGGGCTTAGATTACACTATTTTATAATCGGACTGCAGTACAGTACTGCAAATGGCTCCAGCAGAACTATGTGAGAAAAGGGCCTTTCAGAAGCGTCGGCCGATTCGTATCATCCGACGAGTTTCACGAATTTTATAATAAGTTCCTCCATGAAGATATTCCACGCGTGTGTGAAAAATAGTCGGGAAGGTACACCTTGTAACTTTAGCGCATAAGTTGACAAATTTTCTGGCGAATTGCTTACATCGTCGTAATATCTGCTGGTCGCATGTCACGCTATCGCGATGTCTTCATTTAATTTCCCGGCATCGATCGCAAGTTGAGCCGTGCCATAAATTGTAGGTAAACTCCCAGACCGCGGGGTGATGGTTGAAACGTTTAACGTGGATGTTGGGCGAAATTACAGGGGGCGGAAGACGCGTGTTGAGTTCTACGACAGCACGATTGCGAGGCATCCATCGAACACGTCCGCGGAATGCGACTGGCTGACTCTGTTGACGAGGCAATATTGACCAGGGTTATTAAGGAACGATGGAGTCGCCGCGGGATGTGCTCGGCGTTGCGAGCCCGGAAAAAACAATCTAATGAGATGAACGGAGAGAGGGTGTCCCGAAAAACTAGCTTATTAATCCCGCACCGCGGGGAAATGACGCTTATGAAACAGCGTCCGGAAGATGCAAAAAATGCGCGGAGGGACCGAGGTGACGAGGAATGTACATGTGTGTGGGAGCATATTGTGCCAGGGGAGATGTTCGGGATGCACGAGGAAAAACCGCGACTAGGGCTTTCCTGGCGAAAAAGGGTTATGAACGAACCCCCCCGTTTTTCATATATCAACCGTGATGGACAAGACCCACCTTATGTGTCGCGCATTTTTCCCCCGATACGTTTTTCTGGGCGAGAAATTCCCCCGTCGTACGTGAGTGCATGCTAAATGAAACTCGGACGGGGAATTGACAATCGCCTGCTCCCCGTGCGCTTTTTTTTTTGCGTTGTTGTTGCCGTCCTTTTTTTAACCCCCGATTTTCTCCCCCCCACGTCTGACGTGACCATTAAGGTGGCGAAGAACAATTCAAACATCCGTTTGGTTGAGAGAACCCGGTTCACTTTCTACTGTGGCTCTGTGGATTCTAGTCCCGTTGTCGGTGTGTTTTTCCCAGTTCATTGTTGGTGCGTATTTCCCTGCCCCCGTGGGATCCCGGGAAGCTCGTGGTATTACAGTATAACCATTTCTGCAACTTTCGTCATCAACTTCTCGCCTACGCATGCCTCATTGAATTCTCGATTCTGCCGGGAAAACATTCATGAGATTCCAGCCTGGTTCAGATAACTTTTGATGACTTCGTTGGCTGATCCCCGTGAAGAAAGTCAACGACTGTCTGTGTCTGTGTTGCCTATGATCTCAGTTGTTTTGCATCTGAAAAAAAAACATCAAGCTTTTATCGAATTCGCTGGATTCGGCCTATTTTCTCAAGCAGAATCGACATTTACTGAGCATTATTTGTACGACGATTTTCTGTCGTTCAAGTACACTTCCGAAATGCATCCATCTGAACGACGATGCAGGTACTCGGTGAACGAAAGAATTATTCGCTGTATCGAGACTAACGTTGTAGATGAACTGCAGGTGTCTGCGGAAACAGATGAACTTCTTAGAAAAGTACAGCATGTTTTGAAAGACACTGAGGGTCCTTTCATAAAATGGCGATTGAAATTCATATTACAGTAAACCTAGAGCTGTCGACGAATTCCGTGCTTTGTTGGTTCTTTCAACAACAAAAAAGTGTTCGCGTGAATAATTAACAGTTTTGAGGCAATTCTTCCATATTTATGCTGATTGGACCCTCATAAATCGTACATTTCAAACATATTGGGGATCATTATTTGATTTCGATCAATTGCAGTTCAAGTTCGGAGCATTTGTCGCCCTAATGATGCGGTGGGAACGAGATAAGTGCTTTACAAAAGCGATTGTTCTTTGACAGAAGCTCGAGTTCAATAGCTCACAGAGTAGAGAAGGTTATTAGTTCAAGACGAAAGCTGGCGTAAGTGGACAAGATGTAGGAACCGACAAGCACCGGTGATTTAAGCCAGGCGGCGAGGAAATTTAACAAGAAAAAAGAAATGAATGGCCCGTGCTGCGAATTTTGTTGTGCTCTCGACGGCGGGAATCATTAATTTCCATCGCGTCGCGACCAGCCACGGTTTCTTGGCCGGGTTCCATTTAACCGCCCTGACCTCACGCGGGTGTCGGACTGATTAATAATCGAGGCTGAGTGACACGGGCCGCAGTCGGGTCTTGCGAGTGTGCGAGGCAGTCGCGGACTCAATCCGATCCGCATCGGGAGACTTTGTTTTTCATTCCCGACTAGATCACTATGCCACGAACCCCCTCGAACAAACGACGCCCCGGGAACCTCAAAACTTGGGTTACGCATATTTTAGAGACTGGGAATCAATGGGAACCTCCGATCATCCTGTCTATTGGTTGACGGAATCGTCCGGGTAATTGAAAAATCGCAGATACTCGCGAGCAACTGAACTTCTCGTTGCAATAACCCTGAGTAATCGAGAGACCCCTTTCACAGTATAAGGGAATGTATTGGATAGCTAGACATGTTTCTTGGTGTATGGTGCACCTTTTGGTTCCTGATCACTAGATGATCAGCAGGATAAGGCAAATACAATGAACGAATCTTCAGAAAGACAACTTGCTCTGTGCTCCGAGAAGTTTTTGTTCGTTTCGCGGGAGTAAAACTTTGTGTTTTTTTTAGCATTGTAAAAATTCACGGTCAATCAAAACTGTGATAATCGAGCATCTACTGAAAATCGCTGCACTGAGTGAGCATCACTTACAGAAATTACCACTGCCGTAGAATCTCCGTGCTCACTCATTGGATTCAGTCATTTTTCCTTTTTCCATTTGAATAATCATGGGTCAATCACGCTGTGAAAGGCACCAACGTCTCTACGGAAATTATTTTTCTGCTCAGGGTGAACAAAACTGTCGCATATGGCACCTGGTCCGCATTTTTGCATGAAGTGCGTGGTTATCGACACGAGGCATGTTCAATCGATATCTCGAAGTGATTTATGCATCCGTTGAATATTGCATGTGCAGCACATTAAAATACGTTTTACTGTATCAGAAACTCGACTTGGTCTTGGTTTTAATGCACTTGCTGGCCAAATGATGGAAGAAAGGCTTATTCGGATCGTCATCTCTAACATTTTCGGGTCTTCGTTTCACCATAAACCACGAAGATTATCAAACTTCGATGAAGAAATAACGCCCGGATATTCGAATACAATGTATATGATAATGAATAAGCTAAAATTATATTTCAATGAGCTTTTTCAAAATGATGATAAATGTTAATTCAACAATAGTGCGTCTTCCCGTGGTTCTCTCGAGAATTATTAGCTCGAATAAATATATTTCATCAGAGGGAGGTACAGGGTCTCAAATTAGAATTACGGTATATAAGCAAGTTGTTTTCGCACATTTAATCAAATTTGTGCGAGGGTTCTTCGAAGTTTTCTCAATGTAGTTCTTCGGCTTAAACATCGAATGTGGCGACTTTTATCGGGAGCTCGTATGTCGTCAAGTTCTGTTGTATGTTCGTTACAGTACTTCGCTACATGATTTTGAAATTTTCTCTGTATGAGGCTAGAAGATTTTTGGACATGAAGATCCGATTACGCGTTTTTTTTTCCTCTGGCCAAACGGAATGACTTTGGCTCTTCCTGAATGACGGAAGTCGTCTCGTGGTTTTCGCAGCGGAACCGCCAGTGCTGCCAACGCCAGACATGCTGACCTGCGGCGTGTGCTCCAAGGAGTTCGTGCTAGAGGACATAGTGAAGTTCATTCAACACAAAGTGAACTCGTGCAACAAAGAAAACTACGTGCAGTGCAGCGAGCGGGACGAGGACGCGGACGGCGGTAGTCGCAAGTCCGACGGCGTGGAAGCCGACAACGGGAACGCTGACGACGCCGAGCCCGTGTCGACGGACGTCGTGCGTCGCACGCCCAGCATTTCGGCGCCGCTCGCTGGCCGCCGCCCGCGCCCCACGCCCGCCGCCAACCACGCGTCGTCCCCCGACCAGTCCGCCCTGAGGAAGCACTTGTCGTCGACGAAGCGCAGGCGCGACGACGACTCTGCTGACGAGTCCGCCGACGCGGACGACGCTGCTTCCAAGGACATGCGGCTCTCGCCGCTGACCGCATTCCGCGGCTCGTCCGCCGAATCCTCCGATCATCGCCCTGGCAACGGTGAGCGAAGTTTTCGGTGTTTCCTGGAGAAAACCTTTTTTTTCTTTTTTTTTTTTTGCGAGACCGATGATCGGCGGAACCCTCTGGGTTCAAAGCGCGTTTTTGTTCTTTGTTTTGAATTGCGTAACGACGGGATGCCAAAATACCAACTTTTGTACAATCTCAGCTGACCTGTTCGTCCGTCTTGATAATTTTTAACCCTCTGGGCTCCAAGCGCGTTTTTGTTCCTTGTCTTGAACTGCGTAACGACAGTATGCCAAAATACCAACTTTTGTACACTCTCAGCTGACTCGTTCGCCCGTCTTGATAATTTGCCGTGTTTCACCAGAGATGAAGTATCTGCGATCTGCTCGAAATGTAAGCCCCTTCCTTTTTCCTCCAAAAATTGGCACCAAAAATCAGGTTGCGTCTCAGATGAGATGGCGTCTTAGATTTGCAAGGAATGATTGCTACGAATCGACACTATCATCGGGTTAGAAACTGTCTGAAATTCAATTTTTAATTGCATTACCCTCGGAAGTGTTATATTTAAATAGCAAAGGTTGGAATTCATGTTTCTGCTACGAGAATTCGATAAGCTGGGTACTGAAGCATGAGCAGATTCCTTCGAATGAAGAAATCGGTTGTGATTGAAGCCCATCTTATATTTGGAGGTCTGATCCATTATAGAAAATATTTGTGATCTTGGTTTCCAGTGAAGAATCAGGAGTGCGTCTTGTAATCGATCGCGTTCTTACTTCTAGATAGCATGGATAAAATCGATCTTGCAATAGAAAATATAATGTTCTCGAGGTCAGAAGTACAGTGCTGTTCAACATCTACTGTCATGAATCGAATATTTTTTATAATATCGACTGTGAAAATTTTCACCGGATAATAGGAAAATTAAATATATAATAATGACATAACGGAATATTAACGACTTTCCAGAAAATCTTGAAAAGTGACGCATCACCCTAATGATTTCTCTTTAAACTAAAAATGTTGTCACTTGCACTTGTTTAGATCTCTCCTCGTGCGTTTTTGTATTTTAATTTGTGTCATTTTATGTGATACCACTTAACTATTATGTTGGTATGTATTTCACATAAATTTCCTTATAATCATCTGAGGGTTATCAAGTGGCTCGCATTAAAACGGCGGTACGTTTATGGAAGACCATGAAATCTCGATTTCCTTTTTGTGTGGAACATTCCAGGCACATTAGTGCTAGAATAATTCCAGTACGGGCTGCGATTATGAGAATCCGAAATTTTATTTGCCATCTATCCTTGCTAGGAAGGAAAGATATATTTTTCTGAGCATCTCATTTCCGAGAGGTGATCGAATTCTGCTTTCAGAGCACGGATTATATTCAAGGGGTGTCCAAGAATCATGTCACGATTCCATGATTCTTATTCAAGAAACATGGTTTAGATTTTAGACCGTATATGAATAGAATACGTTTTCACTTCAGTCATAATCTGGTTCTCGAATGGGCCGGAAAGTACGGATGCGAACAATGACGTAAAACGAGCTGAATACCGAGTGTGGTTCCCCTGGCGAAATGAGTTGTGCTCATCCCCTCTGAAGGATCCTGCAGAGAACACCGTTGAGACACTTGCAATTCTTCTGGGTCAGGGTTGCTCCAGCCTCCTTTTCAGCCACGACCGCAAACTTGTCATTTGCACTCGCCAGACGTTCTACTCGTGGCCTCATTGAGAAAACGTTCTATGCTAAAGAAAACGTTATATTTATGAGAGGATCCTAGAAGACGTATTCTCTAGTACGAAATGATGCTCTGAACCAAAGTGAGCTCTAACACACGGCTTACGAAGCTGTTTCCAGGCGACTCGCCTTCCGTTCTTGTTAAAGCAGATTTTCCAAGAAATACTTCGTGATAGAAACGTTCAAGGTAAGTTAATGATTCTCAAAAATCAAATCGAATATACAGTATGTTGAACTACAGTACTGTACCACGTATGCAGAAATTTTCTTGATCCCCGGGGGACATTCGCAGAATTGCAGAATTAGCTGAGGAGGAAAGTGCAAAATTTTACCCACATACAATTGCAATTTTTCTGCTGGCCGGAAACGCTTCGGACACACTTGTAGGAAATCTCGGTAGAATTTGTCTAATTTCTAGGACCTGTCTTGAGCAATAACGACATGTCTCTTGCAGATTTTGCTTTTGGGTTTTTTTTTTCACAATTAACACAAATTGAGTTAATCTTCATGCAGTCAACTGAATATACAATCGTTCGATTTCGTAAAGCATTTAGAATATGCAGGCTTTCAAGTTGGGATTGCTTTTGATGGACTGAGGAGGTATAGAAGTGATTCAGAAGTTGACCTCGGAAGAACTCCGAAATAAAGCGGCATCGTAATGTAACAATCAAGTTGAAACTTCAAGAGCACAGTTATTGTGTCTTCTTCTTTCGGAATTCTGTGTTTTGAGGAAATCAGGCTGTGATATGTTCGAAGGCAAAAAAAGAGACTACAGTATTTTCCAATCTATTGACGATGAAATATTCCGCGTGGCTGAATATCTGCCAGTATATGCGATCGGTGCTCCTCAACCTGCATAATTTTCCCACGACCGCAATTCGGACTCCTCTTCAGTAACAGCTCTATTCCGCGAGCATGCAATGCCTCTATCTATTTTATCTAATTATTTTTGAATTCACCAGTCACGCGGTATCATGCATGCGTTTGCTACAGGATGCCCCGAAATGATGCGTAAAATTCCTTCAAATATTTGAAAACACCCGTTGAGTGTGGTTTCCGTAATGTCAGTGAAGATCATTTCAAGTAACGTAATTGTCGTGTTTTGCGGTGTTTGAAACTTCGCGGCTTTTTTGGCTGTCCTGTATGGTCTTCATTTTTTCGAATAATTCTGCGAGTCTTGAGGTATTTCTCACGGAAAAATTATTATTTTTAAATCGTTTGCAGGACATACGAAGCAGAGGTATTCGAAGTGCATTTCCCGTTCAGAAAAAAAATTGAGCATCTGATTTCGATGAACCACACTGTGCTTCCTTCCTCGAAAATTTCTGCCACTTTATTCTGACAAGTTTTGAACTTGGGTCAACAAATTTCTGAATATTGCATACAAAATAGTGGGAGGGGATAAAAAAGGGATTGTATCTCACCCAATAATAATGGATCATAATCAGGAAAACGGGTTTCAGATCGGTGCGAACCTCAACGTGGTTCGAAATTCGGCTTTCCTTGAATTTAACTTGAGCCGCTCGAACGAAATCTGCAAGATTGACGTTCTTCGACCCTTCGCACTTCCATAAACAATATCTACGAATGAAAACTTTGGAAAATGTAAAACCGGAATGTACCCCTGGGGCCCACGTCATGCCATTTATTTTTGACGACCAAAAATTGAGACGTCCTGTATTGATAGTCTTGACCTTGCGGTACGGACGAAACAGAATAATAATTGGCTATTCTTCATGGGCCATTCTTCCTGATGCGCGATTCCATTCTAAATGATCTTTGTTTTTCTGGGAGTGATGACGGAGCCCCTGAAAAGTTTCTTGAGGGCTCCGCGTCAGGAACCACTTCTCTAGACTCCCGTGCATTACAGGTGATCGCTGAGTTGGCTAGGGGAGAAAAAAAAAGGCTTCTGGGGGAAAAATTCAACGATGATTTTAAAGCAGTCTTCTGATCGTAACGTTTGTTGACCTTCCTGCAAATCGCACCACTTCCAAAGCATGACAGCATTCTCGTACCACCTCTTGATGCTCAAGTGCCACCATTAGTATGACTAAAAATCCTGCTAGTGGAGAAATTTTTTGCATCAGGCTCTGGTCTCTTACTTTTTGTGTTCCGGAACGGTTTTATAAGATCGCACTTTTTTCAGCATCATTTTTAGATAGAGGTCGAATACCCAGGGACCAGCAAAAAAATCGTTGTAGGAAAATTGCGAGTTGTGGAAAAAAATATTTTTGTCGGGGGAAAGGAAGAATAACAGGATATTACAATTGGTGATATCCTGAGCCTTGAATTGCTTTTTGAATGATTTAATAAGATGCTAAAGTCGGAGGAAAGGGTTCATTTGTCCAAATAGCCTTTCATTTGTTTAAAAACGCATCAGATTACATTTTTGTTGCTTTTCTCTTTTCTGTGTCAATGAAATAATTGCAAAAAGTCCTGGAGAATATTGGAGTGATGCAGGTTTGAGGGGCAAAGCCTTCGAGATAAGATTTTTAATTCACTGTTTCGGTGACAATCCAGAAAGGGGCTTTCAAGAAGTCGACGATTCGACTGAGAAAGGTTCTAGTTATTAAGTAGCTTGAGAACAAAGATGCGTGGCACCTGCAAGCCACCCGAGTAGTATTAGTCGAAAAGCCCTGATGCATTCGACGTGGCTCTAAGGGAAATCCGTTTTCTTCCAAAGGATCATCAGCCTCTCTCTCTCTCTCTCTCTCTCGTCGTCGATGAACAATGACAAAAGGATAGTTCGGAATACTAGGGTTGCCCTCGACGCGATTGATGTCAATTTCCGCCCATGTCGCGGGATCCCCAAGTGGGATTGTTTACCACACGCAGTGTTTACGCAGCCGCTGTCACTCGGCGGCGCTGTGACGAAGGTCAGGACGATCCGCGGGCGCGTCGCGTTGACGGGTCACGAGGCAGCCGAGAGTCGACGTTTCCCGGGGTACTGCGCTGCGCAGGCCCCGGGCGTCGACGAAGCAGCGACGTCAGCGAAATAAAATATAACTGCAGCATATATATTTATATCGCGAATATAAAAGGAAAGAAGTAACTTCTGGGCCCGTGAAACCCCGGCCGGAATGAAGCCATTAACCTCTTTTTCGCGGGTTCGTGTGCGCGTGCTGCGTGCGACGACGCAGATGCCTCGCCGAGGCACGTTTTCGCGCGAGAGAGGAAAGGGAGCCCGTCCGTCGAGTACCCGATCGCTCGTGATCCCGGCGATGCTCGGGTTCGAGTCGCGATGAGCACTTTGCCCGGCCATTAAGCCGCTGATGAATGCGATCTGAATGGCGAATCACCGGCTATAAAAGTAATGAGCAGATGAGCAAACGGTGCGCTTGTTGAAACCCCCACACGAGAAGGACGATTTTCGTTGGAAGCTATCTGCGTGACTTCATGGGGATCCCTTCTCACACTGTATGGGCAAAACCTCATCGCTTTATAAATCGACAACTCGTGGATTCCCGGCATTTACCAGGTGGTTTCTCAAGAAGTTCGGCGATTTAAAAATTAATTCTCATCTACTTTTGCCGTCAGGCGTGAACAATTAAGGAGAGGAAGCAACCGGCGAAAGAAAACGAAGACATTAAGCCAACCATTATTTTTGTTCATTGGTTTTTTTTTGTTAGTTCTGGGTGACTTTTTGCTGTCATTTGATTTCAATCTTTTGTCATTGATTTTGAAATAAAATTTTTGTTGTAATGTAGCGTGTTAAATCTGCGTCTAGTGATATCTTTTCATGATTCACCAGACTTTTCAAAAAACCCTATGCACTGTACTTGAGGTTGAAATCCACTGTTGTTTCAGGAATAAATTGTAATTCTGTGCGGCGGCTGCACATCGGTCTCCGGAGGATTTTACGGGTTCTCTTCTGAGGATTATTGAGGACAAAAACCTGATCTATCCGAATTCAGTCGCAATGTTGACTGATGCAGTACTTCCAATTTTTTTTGAAATTTTATCTAAAATTTTTTTTAGACTGATATGGATTGAGCGGCGGATTTAAACGGTAATTTTTTCGACATGGGGCGTGAAGGAAGTGCTCGTGATGACGGAGCTGATATCGGCGTCAACTCGAGGCGAATATCCGAAGCGATAAATTCCAGGCATGTAATTAATGTCTCCCGTGAGCGCAATAAATTCAGAAAAGTGTCGCACTCCCGTCGATCCGCGCTGAAACAATCTCCTTCCAGATGAGGCACCAACTCCATTTCCAGGCATCGTTCCTCGCAGCAAATTGGCTTCCTGCGCAATATATCAAACCTTTCGCCGTCGCATTCGATCCTTCCTGCGTGCAGATAAAATCGCGATTTTGCCAGAAGCAACCTCGCCGGGGCGGAAGATGAATTTTCGCGCCGCAGTCGTCGGCTTTGACTTTTTAAAGAAGCTTCCTGTCGCGGAATTTCAAAAGGGGTTATTGATGCATTCCTCGGGATAATTAGGGTGGGACGGTCGCTGCTGAATTCTTGGGCATCAGCGCCATCAACGCAGGGCCCGACTTTTCTGCGGATGAACGTGTGTGGCGCTTTTTCTGAATTTCTGATGGTTGTATGGCTTCAATTATTTTTGTCAATGTCTTTGCTAAGACTTCTGAGAATTGTTTCTTCTGCTATCTTTTCTCGCCACGAGCCGCAGTGCTCAGGCTGTTGTTCTAGCCTTCTCAAGACAGGGCATCCAAGTATTTATTTTTGCTGCTCGTTAGGCACAGCACAGCCGAATTAGCACAGTGCGAGGTCGTTGGCTGTAGAAAAACACTCTATTGAAATCAACGAAGAGAGAAGCAACCCTGACCAATCACTGAAGACAATGTTTGCCTCGTTCGAACCCTCTCTTTTTTCGGGGGTTTTAGGTGAATTTGTACTTTTAAAACACCAGTGCCACGCTGTATCAGAAATCCTCCGAATTTCTGATGCAGTTGAATATTCAATGAACTTTTTGTAACTAGTTATAGATGATTGTTTTACACGTAGAATTTCTGGCTTATAAAAGCTTGT